AAATATGTACTATTTTTTCTTTTATTTTACTACTTTACAAATAATGTTTTTTGTGTATATCCCCAAATTATATTTTATTTTCATTGATATTACAGTCTAAATACGAGTACAAAGCAATTTGTATTACAAATGCATCTGTTGCAGCGATATTTAACATTATAAACGTTAAATATCTAGCGCTATAATTTGCAATATATGTAATTTATAGCGCCTTTCTAATTTACTTTTCAATTTTTATTACGCAATTTCCAGTGCTATCAATATTTTACAAAATAAAAGTATTTTTTCGATAAAAACTCAAAGCATTTCTATATTAAAGGAGCGAGAGAGAAAACACTAAAGCGTGCGAGAGAGACAGCTACTGTTTGACGATGAGATCATCATGCTCTCCCCTTCCTTCGTCGCCCCTCGCCTACAAGCTGTTTCTAGCTCCCCCCTTACTTCGTCGCGTCTCGCCTACAAGCTGTTCTAGCTTCCCCCTTACTTCATCGTCCCTCGCCAACAACCGGTTTGTCTGAGGTAACCTTCTCTCTATAGATCTTGGGTTAAAACGGCCTATAATTGAATTTACGGGAAAGTTTTCACTTTTCATGTTTCCGCTCCTAAGAAAAACTTATATGATCGATGTCCTGATATTCATATATCCATGGGCATAACGCACAAGGGAATCAACCAATTGGAGTTCTTTATTTCCATCCCCACTTCTCATTCTGCGGATTTCTGATTGGTTGATTCCCTTATGCGTTATGCCTTATGCTTTATGTAAAAATCTGTGCTCCGGCCTTTACTCGCACTCGGCATACATTTATAATACTTGTAGTATCTAAACGTGAATATCGACAAGCACGGAATTGTACGGTAAGCATAATAGTTTTGTCATAGATGTATTGAAGAATGTAAAAACTCAGCGTGCAAAATCATGCCCGCGTTCGAGACTGTTATTTAATATATTGCAAGTTGAAGAATAAGGTTATAGGGGTATCTCATACTTATGATGTAACAGTCTCGCCAATGTCATTGTAACGTGAAGAAAAAGGACCTGTTTTTGAAAAAAATAATCTTTACAGCGTGTAGAGATGGCCAGTTTTACTCGCAAATTGCGCCCTTACTTGAAACGTGTCCACAATCAATGGAGAACCTACGCAGATGCGCCAGCCAGTGATCAAATGAAGTTTACATTTGCTGGTGCCAATCAGGTATAGTGGATTAAACATTAATTAGCTTGATAAAGTATTATAACATCTTTACATAAGCATTAGATATCTTTATTTTGTATGTATGTTAGGTGTTCTATGATCAAACTGCAATTCGTCAAGTTGATGTACCTTCTTTCTCGGGTGCTTTTGGCATTCTACCTAAACATGTACCCACATTGGCGGTGTTAAAGCCTGGAGTAGTTACAGTGTATGAAGAAGGTGGCTCAACTAAGAAGGTTTTTGTCTCATCCGGCACAGTTACCATAAATGAAGATAATAGTGTACAAGTATGTTAATTTTTTTAATGAGCTCAAAGTGACAAATATGGATTCTAAAGTATGTCATTTGTTTATAGATTTTAGCAGAGGAAGCTCATCCAATAGAAAACTTTGATAGTTCAGCAGCAAGAGACATCCTTAGCAAAGCACAACAACAGCTTTCCTCGGCATCATCAGACAAAGATAAAGCAGAAGCAGCTATTGCAGTTGAAGTCGCTGAGGCTCTTGTGCAAGCTACCCAATAAATATAAGTAATATAGAATAATGTATGCTTCATCCAGATTATCGACTTTAGAAATGTGTTCAGCACTTATATCATATTGCTGTATAACAATGAAATAATAAAAATATGTTAAATGATATATATTTTTGATTAAAACAAATTGCTGTCAAATTTTATTATTTTATTTAATTATTTATGATGAAGTTGGATACAAGAAGTATAGAAGAGATAATTGTTATAAATTTTTTATTGTTAGTTTTGATTTTTATTTGTTCATTAACAATATAATAAATATGCTATTGTTTACAAGCTATTTAGGTACATTAATTTTATTGCAAGTACTTATAACAGCCATAAAAATATTCACACTAAAGTTATTGTTATTGTTAAAAATTTGCACTTTATCTACTCTTCATTATGATGCAGCATAAAACACTGAACTAGTTAAAATTTAAAATCTTTAAAATCTATCATTATTTTTGTAATATTACGAATACTTTGGATGTTTATAAGTATTTGATACTTTCTGATTAACTGAGAAATATCAATAACTTTTCTTTTAATAATATGCTCTAATAAGAAAAGATTGTATCTCGTGCTATCATAGCAAGTAGCATATCCCAATGTTGTAATTTAAAAAACATATACATTTAATAAATAAATAAAATTCTTAAACATAATGCATCTATACGATATCATTTTTGGTATTTACATATTACAATTAAAAATTATAATATGCTGTACATATTTTTAACTCTTAAATTTATGATAAGTTTTCCAACAATATTAACCGTGTGCATAATAAAAACAACAACGTATATAATTATGATTCAGATATCAAAAAATTACTATCTATTTTTTGCTATATAAGAATGAAATTTCATATATTTATAAAACACTATTTGTTAACACTTTGTTTGTGTCAAAATATCTCATGTGTATAAAAGTAATATATAATACCGTGCATTTTTTTCTTACATTTTTGTGTAAGAATCGTTAACTATTAATTTTCATTTTATATCTATAAACAATATTCCGAAATTGTGGATACTCTGTTTATCACAAATTATGCAACAGTAATTTTGTACACTTTTATAAACACTTTTAGTAAAAAAGTCTATAAATATTTGGCACAAGATATATAACATATATTTATCCATTGTTGGACTTTAATATGGTATATATATCTGTACAGTCATATATTCTCTTCAATTTCTTAGATAAAAATTTGTCTCTTAAATAAAACGTTTGGAAAGCAAAAGTTGCTCACAAAGTAAATTTAAAGCTATCAGGTGTAAAATCACAAATTTTTACAAAAGTTAACATGAGGAGCGTTATTTGTTTTGCATGACTAGTTAATAAAAAAATTTGTGATTTATTGATTCCTGGCTAGTTGATACTTCATCAAAGAAGGTAGTAATTTTTCTCTACAACATGATGGGTGTGTATCTGTAGCATTGCTAGTATTTTTACAACAATTGCTAAATACTTTTTGTATTTGTTGCAGTGTTTTCAGACAAATTACGACACAACAAGAATCACAACCACCAGATTCGGCGTTGCAGGAACATCCACTTTGCAAGGAAGACACGAAGTCGTCCACAATTCTTATCGTATCTTTTTTCGTGACTTGGACAACAGAACTATTTGTACAGTTTTGACAATTTTGCAAGTTGTCACAATTACAATCGATACATTTACATATATCAGCATCCGCTGTGATCTCCTGTAGAACATTTCTGTCTTTCTTATTTTTTATATTTGTCTTATGCTCATAATTAATAACTTTTTGGCATTGTATAGCCTCATTGTTTGTCGGAGTATGTTCCGTATTTACTGTATCAATATTTTTTAAATTTTCTGTAGATGGTAATTGAGACTCTATTTCTAATGGATAAGGCTCCGGACCAACTAAATCCACCAGAGAATGAACTGCTGTGGGAAAGGCATTAAATTCCGACCAAGATTGTGTTCTCAATGCGGGTGCAGTTGCCAAAGCAGTCACGTCTATCCAAGGTGAAGGTAATTCTTCTTCGGTCGCTATCGCCAGTTCAATGGCTTCGGATTGCGCATTCGTAACATCTGCACATAAATCGTGATTCGAAATCGTGTTGAGAGACTCTTGTTGCAAAGTTGCATCATTGGTAAATGTGAGAGTTTCCATTCCACCCTGGAAGAGGTGAGTTTCGTTTGAGGAACTTATAATATCGGAAATTGTATGACTAGTAATACAATTGGCACTATACAACGCATTGTTGTCATCGACTATTCTTTCTGCATTTGATTGGTTCACAAATACATCATCAGGAGTGGTGATAGATAGGTTTTTGTACTGTTTCATATCACTCGTGAAATGTGTCCCATCAGAAATATGTGCTATTGCGTTCTGCAAACCGTCCTGCATAATTTTCTGCTCTAAATTTATTAGGACAGATCGATCCTGTCTATTTGTAGTGTTGCTATGTACTTCCGATAACGAAATTGTCTCATGCGAATGATCATGATGTCCAGTTATATCTGTTAAATTATCATGTTGCATATTTGATTCCGTAATTTGATTGAATACTTTAAATTCATTGTAGTCCTCGTTATTATTAAAAGCGTCAATTGTGTGCTCATCATAATTATCTAAATTAACATCCGTTGCAAGAAGTGCAGTTTCGGCGGTTTTATTCGAATTTTCTACGTCTTTGGTATGAATATAACAGAGTTTCGTATCCAGCTTATGATGGTTCATAATGTTTGCTGTTACACTGGTGGAAACTGCTTGTCCTACTGTATTCTTTGGGGATACATATGGCATATTTCCATTATTTTGTGCAAAATTTGAAGATATTGGTATAACAGCATACGATGGTATAGTGGTGTTATTAACTTTTACAAGTTTTAATTCTAATTGAGTTAACTTTCTTAGCTCCTCAGTCATATCGTTTTTACGCTTCTATAACAAAATGAGAAAAATTTGATATAAACTTAACAAACACTTCATAACTTCATCAAACTTAATAAAAAAAAAATTAATGTAATATTTCTTCTGTTGTATTAATACTTACATTTTCATTATTTATAATTTTGTAATGTGTCTTTATATGGCTTTTTAAACTGTGAGGAGTAGTAAAACATCGTTTGCAATTTTGGAAGGTACAAATATATGGTCGTTCGCCTGTATGTGTTCTTTTGTGCGTTTTTAAATGATGTGAAGCCGTAAAGGCCTTTCCGCAACCTTTCTCTCTGCATCTTGAAATATACAAAAAGTAATAATTCTGAATAATTTTAAAATATATATATATATAGAATATTCAATGTTAGCTGTTCTTCAGTGGAAGTTAATCAAGTTTTATAATGTGTATCTTTCCATTTAATGTGTTTATGATATAGATGATTTGTAATATCATTTTTCGATATTATAGGAACGTACTTGTATGGTCTTTCTTGAGTATGAGTACGTATATGTTTCTTGAGATCACTTAAAGTAGTAAAGAATTTAAGGCATCCAGTCTCTTCACAGTTGAATGTATTGCCACTGTGGAGTCTTTGGTGAGCTCTCAGTCTGTAAAGGGTATTGAATGCTTTCTCGCAACCTTTGTGATTGCATTCAAACGGTTTTACTTTTGTGTGTACCCTAATGTGGATCTTTAGGCTGTAGGACGTGAGAAAGGCCTTGCCACAACTCGGCTCTGCACATTTAAATCGATACTCGCCTGAAAGTTTCGAGAATTCCCTCCACGTAAAAAGTTTGCAGGACTACTTATCTCTTGCGGTATCTGAAAGCCATGCAGGTTGAAGCGTTTCTTTTATGCCAGCATTGGTGATTTAATATCAAATTGCAACAATAATATGTAAATATGTTTTCGTTGCTAGCATAGACACACATGATATAATTCTTTACTTACTTGAGTCCTTCTATATCCAATGAGTACGCAAAAACAAAAGCACATGTTAGTACCGGCATATAAAGCAAATTCCATATTGGACAAGAACAACGTGCAAAGCAAATGATGATTTTCTTAACAACAAATCAAACAATTATGGATAAGCCAGCCAATAAAAATAATGAAATAATGACAATTTCTTGCTAAATTTCTTGCTAATAATGAACTGAACAAAATAAAAGATCTTAAAAATATTAGACATTAAACTGTATAAAATTAATTACATATTAATAAATTATTTTTTACTCTATTAAGTAACATTTTTTAACATAAATTATATTTATGATTATTAATAGAAAAAGTTTTCTATTCTATTTATCATATTCATTATTAAACAATAAAAAAAATAAATTATATATATATATATATATATATATATATATATATATATACATATATACATACATGTATAAAGTAACAATTCTAGAATCTCACCTTTATGTGTTTTCATGTGGGTACGCAAGTTTCCAATAGTACTGTATGTTCTGCTGCAGCCTTCATATTGGCAATTATATCGATTGATATGTTTCTGATTAGTATCTGGATCTATATTTTCAATTGCGACAGTCTCATGAGAAGTTGCACAATCTTCAGATAATGCGTCTTGTCCCTCATGAATCCGCATATAAATTTCATCCGCATTAATTGTATGGTAGTTATGTCTATAAGTACACATATATTCTAATACATATTAGTGCAAAGAATTTGGTTTACATATTCTTTTTTAAATTATACTATTATATAATTATATTATATTATATATTATATAATGATTAATCAGAAAAATTGTGGAAATGTGCATATTACTTAATCTTGGTAAAGTTAGCATATATCTATACATTATTCACTATGCTATTATTCTATGTATTATTTTACTATTATTACTATATATTATGTATGGATAAAATTACAAAATTTTAAGATTGGTAAAGCAAATATAAGTTTTTATTTTAAACTTTATATTAGGTAAACTAAAAAAAATTATTTATTTAAATAATTCTATAAATTCTGTGAAACTCATATAAAAAATATATAATATAATTTTAATATATTATATAATGATATATATTATATAATGATTTTATATTATATTATTATATAATATTATATATTATATATATTATAATTATATTAAATTATATTAAAATTATATTATATATTCCTTTATATGAGTTTCACAGAATTTATAGAATTATTTAAATAAATAATTTTTTTTAGTTTACCCAATATAAAGTTTAAAATAAAAACTTATATTTGCTTTACCAATCTTATAATTGGGAAATTTAGCCATACATAATATATAGTAATAATAGTAAAATAATACATAGAATAATAGTATAGTGAAATAATGTATAGATATATGCTAACTTAACCAAGATTAAGTAATATGCATATTTCCACAATTTCTCTGAATTGTAAACCAGCAAAAGTAAATTTTGTAGTGCACCTGTTTCACTTGTAACAACATGAAGCCAAAAATATAAGATTGCCAATAATGATATCAAATAATACCAATGCACAAGCATAATTCTTTACAACAATAATAGTAATAAGTCGCACAAAAAATCAAATCAAATACAATTGAAAAATAATTTATATTTTATTGTTTTATTATTATTATTCTGAATATAAATTTGCAACAAATAAAACAAAACACAAAGTGTTGCTATAATAAAACATTTATATAGATATACATACAATATATAATATATATATAAAATATAATTTATCTTTAGAATATTAGCCAAAATGTGAAATTTTCCAGGTATGCATAACAACAAATTTCCAGATATGCATAACAACAAAATATTTAAGCGACGTAAATATCAAAACACATCCACGTATGTTATTCACAATTATAATTTTTTCTCAGATAATTTATGAATTAAGGGCTCTTGCTTCGAAACTTGTTATAACCATATATGGAGGGGAAGGAGAAATACTGACGCGAGCGTGCGGATGAAATATCGACGATATATTTATCCGATATATTTATTCATAAAATTAACCCAGTAACGTCACAACTGATATAATCAGGGGTTGAAAATGCCAAATTTGATTATTAACCGAGAAATATTTTTAAAAACTAGCAGAACTCACCCGGTCGTATTGTCATCGGCGGGTAGTTTCTCGCTGATAGCAACATCATCATCGGAGTACCTCTCATAATCGAACACCGCGCTTTGTGCGTAAACCTTCTCAAAGCTCGACAGGTCTAGGGTATCGTCCAAGCAATCCTGCAGATCATGCGTCACAAGGATATTGTCGAAGTTGCTCTCAATACCATCGACATTCTCTTCTTGAAACTTGTCGCTCTCCCACGTCGCCATACTTTTTTGGGCCTGCGCGACAAACAAATTGTGCGACGAGCTCGCTATCTACGTCAGGGGTGGGACACTCTTATGAGCGATTATAAAGTAGTTACTTTGTAGACTATAGTTTTCAGATGGCGTTACTATTCACATGTACAACATGGGTGCGTTCAGAAGACACAACGGTTGTGTGAGCGCTCATCGCCATCGGAGTATTCTATCAGATCTTTTAGAGCCAACAAATCAACGTCAAGTGTTGACAAGACATACACAGTTGTGCAACTGTTTTCTGAACGCACTCAATAGACATAAGGCCGGTTCTACAATAAGTTGCAAATACTCCGTCGCCAGTCGCGAATGCTCCGTCTTACTAAAAATAACTAGAAATAGCGCTTTCCAATTAGTAGTTGCCATCCTTCGCGACCGGTGACGGGGCATTTGCAACTTATTGTAGAACCAGCTTAAGAGGTCTGTTTTTTATAGCTGAACTGGCTGCACTAGTTCAGAGTTTATCTTTCTCCTTTCAATGTGGAGGGAAAAGATAAACTCTGAACTAGTACAGCCAGTTCAGCTATAAAGAACAGACCTATAGTGTAAGCGCCTAAGTGATATTGCGCTTATTTAGGTTAAGTCGCGCCTAGATGACAGCTAGTCTAAGAGTGCTAGTGTTTTTCTCGTCGCTCGCGATTGGCCGATTCCTCGTGGCTAGCAGCCGCTCTCGGATTGGTCCGTGAGGATACGTGACTTCGTCTACGCGCGAGAGCGTCTAGGCGAAGAGCGAAGACAGTGAGGGTGCCGTCACATGAAGCGTAACTTGCGTAAGCGTATCTTGTGTTAGCCAATCAAATCGTTCAGATACTATACGTAAAATTTTGCATATGATAGCTGAATGATTTGATTGACTGACATAAATTACGCTTACGCAAGTTACGCCTCATGTGAAAGCAGTCTGAGTCTTTTGTAACAATAGCTGACGCAAGGATCAGTGGCCGGCATAGCCGGTGAATAAAGTCTTTCATTTTATAGTGAACGTATCCTATTGCTCTCCCAATCTGCTTATTCCTGACAAATCACAGTCACTCAGTGACAAACCAGCTCTTTACAAAGTTAGCAAGAGCTTTACAGCAGTAAGTATAAACTGCTCATGACGTTCGCAGAGTGTCGAGAATTTAGAAAGAATAAAAAAATTTTGAATAGAATACTTTTCTCTATCACACATACTCCCAGTATTCATAAGGTTTGTTCTTTATTGCTGCAGTGAGTTCACACTGCACTGAACTGAATTGAAATAGTGCAAGCGGAGACAAGTTAGTGTAAGTAAGTATAAAGAACGTTTTAGTGCAGTGATCAACATGACGCACCGCGTAATATTAAATGAATTATTAGATTCTTTGGATGAAGAAAATATAAATCTAATGCCATCATTTATACCTCTTTTAGATGATGATGACGGTGGTAAGATATGTATTTTATGTGCAATGTATTATTATTTATTGTTATATATTAATAAAATTCAAATTTTTTGGAAATTTAATCTAATCTAACCTAATAACTATTTTTTTGTTTTAATTTTGAAGAGTTACAATTATTACATCCAATTTTTGGAATGATACAAAGGATTGAACGTGTCAAAATAAATAATTAAATAGAAAATATTGTTCATAATTATGACAAATTGGATTTTATCATGCATTTTCGAGTATCAAGGATAGTAACATATGAACTGATAGATCGATTTAGAGTGTTGGAAATATTTATTTCTTTACAAAGTATATATTGTTGCGCCCAGGCTTTTTCGTCGCTGATGCTGCGTGCAGTCAGCTGAGAGACCAATCGATATTATCGATCGGTCATTCAACGGTTTGAAAAGCTGTTTCTTAGCAACTTTGAAATGTTATAAATAATGTCTCCATGGTAATATTGTTTAGACGTCTCTATGACAGTCTGTAAATAAACTGTAAGACGTCAGATTTTCGGGAGCTGTCTGCTCGGGCGGACGTGTGCGACGGCTCTGATCTTTTAATTGTATTCCCGGTTACTCGTATTCATTCAAATTATTGTTCTTATTAAAGTGTGTTCTTTTACATAAATAAAGTGTTCTTTGATTTCTGCGAGTTCCGTTGACGTGTGCGATACTTCGTTCCGCGAACGCAACATTTTAGGGACTCGTCCGGAATCGGAGCGATTATTCAGTGCAGTGCAGTGCGGAGCAGTGGTTTCATCATGTCCACTCGCCAAGAAAAACACGTTCCCAGACTCCATCAACGTCGGCTGAGTCGGAGACGCTGCGCGCAATTCTGTAGGAGCTCGGACAGCTTCGGGAGGAGCGGAGACAGGAGCAGGAGCGAGTTCAAACAGAATTGAGGCAGCGGGACAAGGCGCTGGGCAGATTGGAGCAGCAGATTAATCAGCTAAGTCGTTCCAATATTATTACTGGGAATGGCGATCTGGGTGAGAGTTCTGCGACGGGAAATGTTTCGTGCGCGCCCGTAAATTCGGTGTCAGTAAATTTGGGTTATAAATTGAAACCAGATATGTATAACGGGACGGGATCGTTAAGGGCTTTTCTCAATTTAATTTGATTGCGAGTGCAAATAATTGGACAGAGAATGCAAAAACTATTGCGTTAGCATCCTGTCTTAGGGGAAAGGTAAGAACGGTATTAGATTGTGTTTCGGAAATCGAAAATTTAAGTTTCGCAAAATTAAAATCAAAATTAGAGTTACGATTTGGTGAGGGTCATCTCTCCGGGACGTATTACACGCAATTTACAAATAGACGACAAAAATTTGGTGAGGAAATATCGAATTTAGGCGCTGATATAGAAAGGTTGTCAAGGTTAGCCTATTCAGAATGTTCGGCAGAAGTCCGAGAAAAGATAGCGTGTGCGCAATTTGTTAATGCGCTGAATGATCAATTCATAAAACGGACTCTTCAATTAGAGGGAGTTTCCTCATTAAAATTAGCAATTGAGAGAGCGAAAACTGTAAAAGAAATTAACGAAAATAATTTTTCGTTAATTTCTTTTACAGTTTTCGCTTTCTCAATTGCTAATTTTAATATAATAATTTTTAATATAAAATAAAAAGAAAAAAATTTGAAAAATTTGAAAAAGATAAAAGAGAGAAAAATTATAATTTTTCTGAAAAAATTGGAATCAGAAAAAAGAGATAAAGAACAAGAAAAAATAAGAATTTTAATAGAAATAATTTTAATAAAAATAAAAACAGTTTTCAGAAAAATGATAAAGAAAAAAATGATAAAAAATGATAAAGAATGTTGGCAATATGGAAAGTCAGAACACTTCCGAGCAGAATGTCCGGCTTTAATAAAAGAAAAGTCAACAAATTAGGTTTTGTCGAATTGTTCGGGGTAGATTCGACAAAGAGCAAAGAGGCCCCGAAAAGAGAATTAAGATTAAGTCGGATTCAGAAAGAAAAGTTTTGTTTTAAAGGGTTAATCAATGAAAGACCGTGTTTATTTAGAGTTGATACGGATGCGAATGTTTCAATTTTAAGTAATAGAATGGTAGAAACGTCAAAGGTTTATAATAATTCGGGAAATGAAAGATTAATTTATCCCATGGGAAAGGAAATTTTGATTTGTTTTCGGACAAATGCAAAGGTGAAATTAGGGAAGTATTCATTGGACTTGTCTCTTTTAGTTGCGGAAATTAGCGACGATTGTATTCTAGGAATAGATTTCTTGTCAGCAACAAATGCGAAAGAAAGTCTTCGGTCTGCATTAGGATTGACTGGCAAAGAGTTTGCTTGTGCACGGTTAAATTTTCAAAAAGATAAAATTTTTTTTGCTTTAAGGGAATTATTTGAACGAGATTCGGAAAATTTAGATTTTTCTCAAAAAGAAATGTAAAAATGCAAAAATTTTGCGAGATTATCAAGATGTTTTCTCGGAAGAAGTTATCGCTGGAAATTGTGATTAAATAAAACATGAAATAGACGTAGGAAATTCGCATCCTATTAAACAAACACCTCGTCGGATCCCTCTTCATTTGAGAGCTGAGGTAGAGAAAATAATAAAGGAAATGGAGAAACAAGGTGTAATAGAAAAATCACAAAGTCCATGGTTATCTCCTGCAGTTATGGTAAGGAAGAAAGATGGATCACTTCGTTTTTCTGTTGATTTCCGAAAAATCAATACTGTGACAATAAAAGATTCTTATCCTCTACCACGAATAGACGATACGATTGATCAGCTTTTTGGAAATTCTTGGTTTTCTACTCTTGACCTTAAGAGTGGATATTGGCAAATTAAAATTCACCCTGAAGATAAAGAGAAAACAGCATTTTCGTTAGGAAACGGTTTATGGCAATTCACTGTAATGCCTTTTGGGTTGTGCAATGCTCCGACAACATTTGAACGATTGATGGAGCAAGTTTTGTGTAATTTAATATCGAAAATTTGTTTAGTATACCTAGATGATGTAATAATTTTTGGGAAAACTTTTGAGAAAATGTTGCAGCGGTTAGAAATTGTCTTTTTACGATTTAGATCTGCTCATCTTAAACTTAATCCAAAGAAATGTTCTTTTCTTAGGAATTCTGTAAAATTTTTAGGACATATTATCTCCAGAGAAGGAGTGACCACTGATCCAGAAAAAATAATCGCTGTAAAAGATTGGCCGGTTCCTCAAAACAAAAAGCAATTGCGTAGCTTTTTAGGATTTTGTTCATATTACAGGAAATTCGTGAAAAAATTTTTTTTTCTCAATAAGATTTTATACACTTTGACGGAGAATCAAATAAAATTTGAATGGACATCTCAATGTCAGTTAGCATTTGAGAAACTTAAGCAAGCTTTAATTTCTTCTCCAATTTTATCTTTTCCTAAGGAGGAAGGAGAATTTATTTTGGACACAGATGCTTCCAATCATAGCATAGGTGCAGTATTATCGCAAAAACAAAATGGAAAAGAGAAAGTTATTGCTTATTTCAGTCGAGTTTTAACAAAGGCTGAAAGGAATTATTGTGTAACCCGTCGAGAACTATTGGCGATTGTTAATTCAATAAAGAATTTTCATCATTATTTATTTGGAAGGAAGTTTCTTGTCCGAACTGATCATG